CTCAAATTATAACAATACAATGTAGACATTGTCTTGAGGTACACTACAAGATCATGAACTAGGTAGATGATCCATGTCATCTCTGTTGTAGTAAAGGTTAGTGATGTATACTCAACTTCAACACTTGATCTTGCTACTATTGGCTGTTTCTAGGAAATCCAAGAAAAATAATTTGCATCTAGGAAGATGCTATAGCCTGTAGTGGATCTCGGAGTGGTAGTGCATCCTCACAGCCAAATGAGTATATGAATATCCATAAAACCTACAAGGTGATTATGAGATAAGTTTGATTGTTTGAGTTCAAATTGTAGAGTACATTTGATGTACCTGAGAATCATTCTACCTCCTTGAAGGTGTTCATTATTAAGACATTGCATAAACTGACTGGCTAGATTCCCTGCATGAGTGATATCAGGCCTTGGGAGTGTCAAATACTAGAGGCTACCTACTATCCTTATGTACAAAGAGGCATCTACAGACTTCCAACCACTTTATTTTGACCATGCAATTTTTCCTAAGGAGTAGCTACAACTTTTTACAATTTCATATCAGTCTTGTTAAGTAGGGCAGCGGCATACTTACTCTGACTCAAGTAAACTCCTCCCTTAAAATATTTGACCTCCACTCCAAGAAAGAATTGTATAGGACAGAGATCCTTCATAACAAACTCTCTTCCAAGTTGTTAAACCAACTCAAAGATATGTAATTGGTTACTTCTTATTACAATAATGTCATCTACATACAGCAAGAGGAATATTGAACCTTTGTGAGTTTGCAATGTGAACAATGAGGGTCTGCCTTACTATAAGTAAAGCCAAGGAGTAGGAGATGCATGCTAAATCTATCATATCAAAATCTTGATGCATGTTTAAGGCCATACAATGCCTTCGTTAACAGAAAAACATGGTGAGGATATTTAGAGTCAATAAATCCAAGAGGTTAACTCATGTATACCTCTTCTTCCAATAGACCAAGTAGGAATTAATTTTTGACATCAAGTTGCCTTATTTCCAACTTAGAGCTAATATCAACTGATAAAACCACCCTAATAGTTGTGGCCTTGACCATATGGCTAAATGTTTCTTCAAACTATATCCCTTCAAGCTGTGAAATACCCCTAGCAGCAAGTCTTTCTTTGTATCTATATACTATTCCATTTTCCTTCAACTTGGTCTTGGACACCCATTTTGAACTAACTGGGTTCATACCAGCTGATTTAGGCACTAATGTCCATGTCTTGCTGCTATGTAAAGCATTGATTTTCTCCTACACAACTGCAAGCCAATGTGGTGACTCTAGTGCCTCATTAGTAGTGTTTGGTTCTCTCACGATCTCTTCTTTGTTTTTAGGAACAAGAGATAAGTGATGAACCTTTTCCTTGTGTCTAGTAATCATGTGATGCCTTGTGGTATATGAGGTGTATCAAGTGAGGCAGCTAGTTACAGTGTAGTTTCTCTAGATTGTTGGTTCTCAGTCATATATCATACTAAGATATCAACCTTTTAATGTATCTCGTGTGGACTAGACACAAAAGAAGTATGATTCGATGGACCACCACTATCTAAACCTGCATGATTAACTTGATCCTTACCACCACTATCTGAAACTGCATCTGAGTGTTCAACATCAATATCATCATCAATAGGCATGAGCGTTACTATATGTTCAGTAACATTATCACCAGTAGATTGTGTATTATCAACAACCTATGTTTTAATACATGCAAGATTCTCACTAGTTGTTGACACAATATAAGCATTTCCCCTGAATAAGTATCCTCACATGCCAGAAATTAAGAGAAAAATTCGACAAAAGTATCTAGATCAGGTGAGACATAAATATTACTATAAGTTTGATTTGGAGGATAAACGGTAATGTTCTTTCATAAAATCAACATGTTTGGACACATACACTTCCCTTGTTGAGGGATGATAACATTTGTATCCCCTGTGCAATCTATTGTATCCTATGAACATACAAGAGCAGGTCTTCAAGCTAAACTGGGCACTACCCTTGATATATGTGAAACACCTAAAACCAAACACCTTTAAGATGTTTTAATCAGGTTTCTCACCATATAACCTAACAAATGGAGTAACCATCTTTAAGACTGAGTACGACAGTCTATTAATGAAAAATAGTGCATGGCCTCAACTCATAGAAACAAAGGAAGATTAGCACGTAATAGAATAGTTAATCCAATGTCATCAATATGCATATGCTTTCTTTCTAAGACTCCTTTTTTCAGGTGTCTTAGGACATGAAATGTGCCTTACAATACCACAATCTTCTAGATGTTTAATGAAGTATGTTTTGATTAATTCACCACCTCTATCACATTGGAACATCTTAATGTCTTTAGAGAATTGTTTTACACAATTTTCTGAAATTTAACAAATACTTCAAAAATTCAAACATCTTTTTCATTGGATAAATCTATGTATACCTTGTGTAATCATCTACAAACACTACATGATATTTCATATGCTGAAAAAATTCAACAGGAGAAGGAACCCACAAATCAGAATGTGTTTTCAATAAAGGTTAGTTGTCAATTCTATTCCTCAAGTCAAGTGGAAGTTTACAAATTTTGTCCAACTGACAACTAGAACAGACAATATGCATTTTATTCCAACTATTAACATTAATGCAACTACTGTTACTCAAAACTTTTAACAACTTTAAACTAGAATGTCCTAATATAGTATGCTCTATGATATCTAATGTCTTCTAATCTTGTGTAGGAGTCAAAGCATAGAGTCCACTTCTCTTAGATCCCTAGGTTAGTATTGTCCTTGTGTTCTTGTCCTTTACAATAACATTAGTTTCATCAAATTCAAGAGTGCAACAATTATCCTTAGCAATTTTACAAACTGGGAGTGGATTCTCAGCAGTCTTAGAAACTACAAGGACCTTTTCTTATTTCAAACATGATGTAGTTGTATTCCCAACATGTGTTATGTCTAATTGTGATCCATTCCCAACAAAATCTTTATAAAATCCACTGTAGTGTTTAAATTAGATAGAATACTGGCTTTTGAGTCCATATTCAAAGTGTCATATGTAGATGATGTATTTTGCAGATTGATAGTAGCCAATGCATGTGGTAATTCATCTACATATTGACAAGAGTAGTCCCACCTGTAAAAGCACTTAAGAGTAGTATCATTATTCCTACCACAAATTTTAAACGACTCAGTAGTATTCCTATCCTTATTTATACTTTGGAAGCTTTGATTATTCTAAGTATTTGATCCTTGTCTAACAGGTTTGAGACCCCTTCCTTTGGAGTTGAAGTTGTTGCTTCCACTTCTCTAAGAGTGGTTTCCTCTTCCCCTTATCCTTTGGGCAAAGAATGCCATGTTAAGGTTATGTAGTTGCAATTCTTCTTCATCCTCTTTCATATCAAAAACCCTGAGAGAATTAACAAATTGATTAAGAGTTAAATATGGTGCATTACCTAGCATGAAAGTCTTGAAGGAATTGTACTTGAGACCTAAACCTAAAGTTCATTACTTTTCTATCTTCATCCTCAGGATTGTGAATGGCTCAAGACCATCACATATTACTTTGAATTTCTTACTGTAATCATCAATCTTAGTGGTTCCTAGCCTAAACTTTGCAGTTATTGTTTAAGCTAAAACACCTTATCTTTGTTGCTTGAAGATCGGCCTTATTTAACCATTCTCACATCTCCTTGGTAATTGAGAAACCCTCAATAAAGTACATGTCTTCTTATGTCCAGGTGCCTGAGATCCAGTTCCTTAGCAATACATATTTCTCCTACAATCATCAACGCTACCACTATATTCTACATTATCCTCAACACTTATAACCACGACATTCTCAACAGCCTTTCCAATAGAATGACCACTCGCAATTGGTTCATTCTCCTTGATGATATAGGTTAGTCTCATCACATGAATCAACTGCATCATTTGTGTCCTTCATATGAGATAGTTTGTTAGCTTAAGTTTAATGGAACAAGAGGCAATTAGGTGGTGAAGGGAATAAGTGGACAGAGTATTGATAGAAGGATCCATTTCAGTTAGACGTGTGATCATTTTGAATTCAATACTTAGGCAGCGGAAGATCTTAATTCTCTTATACCATGTAGAATTCTCAACAATAACTGAGAAATCAAGATCTGTATTGATGGTTAAACATTTGAGTAGAGATTGATATAGAGTTGTAAATTTGTACAGTAGTAGACTAGTATTACAGTTATAATATATTAAAAATACAAATACAATAGTAGAGGTTAACTACTACTACACCTACATAGCCTAGTCAAAGTCCGATTTTAATTCTTGAACAACTAACAAGACTTCTAACAGTTGAACCATGTTGATCAACTCAATCCTTATCTTCAGCTTGATCCTTATCTTCAACAGTTATAGTTAGTGATTTTATGAAAAATATTGTCACCTATGAACCTAAAATCAATTTTTTTATATTATGAGAGTCACTCAGTCCTTCGAGTTCTTTCAAAATTTTCTAAACAAAAGAAAGTTATAACCTTATAGCCTTGTAAGGTATGTATGTGTGAGTGATTCTCTGGATTTAATATGTAGATTAGGAAAAATATGATCTTTGTGATGATGCAAAACTCCATTTTGTAAAAGTACCATAAGGTTTGAACTTTAATCTTTTGTTATGTATTAATTGCATATAAATGAAAGGATGTCTTGTTGAAGTGATTTTAGTATCATAAGTCAATTGTGTAAATGATCATGGGACATTCCTTTCACATTTCATGTGCGAAAAATTCCTTCTCTCTGACTATTTTTGAGTTTCTGAATAATGCTCTACTAAATGTTATAAGGTTTTGGTAAGCTTATGAATTTTATTATTTGTAGTCCATTAGGGTTTAATGTGAAACTCATTCTGGATTTTGCAAGATTTTATAGTGTTGATACTCTACTCGCTGCTTCTCCTAGTTCTTTCTTTTAATATTTGTCAGTAATAGTGATATGCTATATTTAACTGATATGGTACAGACTGACTGGGAAGGTGGCTTCTATCCAATGACAATGCACTTTAGTGAAAACTATCCTTACAAGCCACCCAAATGCAAGTTTCCTCAAGGTTTCTTTCATCCTAATGTCTATCCATCAGGAAAAGTACGTCCGCAGTCTATCCTTAATCAGGACCATGTAAGTTATTGTCATTGTTGTTTTGTTACTTTGTTAGTTTTATAAATTTGTATATCGGCTTCAAGATTACTCTTATGGTTATTGTGTTTTTATAACCTTGTTTAGGGGTGGAGTCCTGTCATTACAGTTAAACAAATTCTAATGGGTATTCATTATTTGCTTGATTGGCCAAGCACTAATTATCCAGCACAAATAGAAGGTTATAATATATACATACAGGTAACTACTCAAGCTTGATATGTATTTCATTGAAATTTGTTTTTAAAAAAAAACTTTAAAAATTAAGTTGCCATTTTGATTTTGTCTATTGGAACTACTCATAATAATATCTTGTATATTTGAAATTCTATGATGATTCCTGTTGAGAAGTCGTTTACATGGATGCTTAGATAAAAAATTAAAATTTACTATATATTAAATACATTAAATACATTACATCTGTTTTAGAGATACTATTGGATTATAGGAGGGATTCCAAATGTCAATAGATTACTTACAAATTTTGGTTAAATTGGTAATGAGAAAATTAAATTTTAGTTTCCATTCATAGAATATGGTGCATTTGAAATGTGACAATTGAGTAAATCATATTAGTTCCTAATTTTTGGCTTTTCATTACAATATGTGACCTTGATTTTGCAGGATAATGTTGAGTATAAGAGACGAGTGAGACAGCAGGCTGAGCAGTATCCAACTCTTTTCTGACATTACTTTGTTATAAATTAAGAATAATCATGTGACATTTTTAGTCCTCATTGACATGGCGGTCGTGTGTCTAATTTGGTTCTTGTTCTTATCTTCTTTATAATTGAACAATTAATATAGTATGTGTGCAACATGCATGCTATTCATATATGTTATTTTGACAATGTGGTTGGTTTGTTGTTTCTCTTTCTACTTCATCAAAGTCTTTGTTTTTCTATGCTAACAATCCGGTAGTTGCTAACTGTGTGAAACCAAAGAAGCAATCTTCTAGTCACTATTGGTTTATAGGACCAATGGGTAAAAGATGATAAACTTGTTTCTTGGGTAACTAAGTTTTCTTCATGGCTTATCACATACTTCGCCTTTCAAATATGCAACAAATAGCGATCTTCAAAGGTTGGAATGAACAACAACTATATATACCCTACTCAAAAGCAACTCACATTTGTCAATATCTATATTCTAGACATTGGGAAGAATTGCTTAACACTCAAGATTTGTTCTCTATAGTATTTTGCTTGAAACATAACATATTATTTTGTTCTCTCTTTTATTTTGTCTTGTAGTTAATCATACAACCAAGGTCAACATCCTTGATGCTTATTGTAGGAAATATTAGGAGAGCTTAGTGCCTTCAATTTTAAATTACTCTTCTAAGGTACAAAAAACATGGTAGTTGAGAGCTTCTATTAATGTCATTAGATGATTATCAGAAAATCTTTCTTTCTCCACTTCCCTCATAATCATTGCTTCGATGTCTTTTTCTCTACTTTTGATCATTTCACTTTCCGTCGAGGTGTTCATCAATATTTTCACACTCTCCTCTATCTTTCTCCTTTTTGATAATTGTATTTGTGATGTCAAAGCACTGTGATATACCTCTTCCCTAACCCCACATCAAATATCCTACCCATCTTTTCATGGTAGGACTTTTCCACAAACAAGGGTTATGTTTGCATTGGCATTCGAGCTGTAAGAGATTCCAAGCTAGAGTTCTGACCAGAATTGTTGGATTTTCCAAAATCTTCAGTTGTGGCACCTATCCTCTAACTAAGAAACCTTTGGTGTTTGTCAGCATTTTTTCCTTGAAGCTAGTAAGCATCGAGCTTTCTCGCTCATTTTCATGGGGTTTGCCACCCTTACTTACTACCCAAAGAATAATGAATTTGAGGTCTCAAAAACAAAGGTTATTACATAGAGCGGAGAATCAAAAACCACCCCATACATCAAGAAAAAATGTACACGATCAAGTTTGGTTCTTGAGAATCAATCTAACTTAGGTTGTTGTATCGCTCTAGTACTATAGTGTTTTCAAATTGCTCAATTCTTCTCTCTTTCAAAGTGAAACAAACAATGAATCAACCATGATTTCTCACCATTGGTTTCCTTCTAAAGCTCAGTGTAAGTAGTCTTCAGTTTATAGATAGTGTTATTAATCACGGCATATAGCTCCAAGGTTCTAATTCTTTAATTCTCGTCATCATCTCCGAGTATGGACCTTCAGAATTGATTTTAATATCATACGAAAATTGAGATCTTTTAATTTCAATCTGATAAGGTAAACTTAGAATCAATAAACTTTATGAATCTAAAAATTACTTTCTCATTAGGTGTATACACGTTCAAACAATGTCCAACATAGTGGAACATAAGATTATGTGGATAAAACATAAGTCTAGGTATCTTCAGTTGCTCGACTTAGTCTATAGTCAAGGTAAGGCACACATCTGAAACTATGCAATCAGGAAAAATCTCAATAATAGGATCTTCGATCAGTTTCTGAAGCAACAAAATTTCTATAAATACCATCACTACACCATAATAGGATTTTAGTGGCATGTATTTAGGTGCTATAAACTAATTGCCACTAATTTTTCTTCAAACTTCATAAATTACCAGAAAATAAACTTTAACTGCAAATGATCAATTTTTAGTGGCAACTTAAATAAATGGCCATTAAAATCCCAAACTTATTATACTCACATTCTTTTATACTCTAAAAGTTAGTGAAATTATCCACACTTCGTGTGACTATAAGAAAAATTTATTTATTTATTTACTTTTACTTTTCAAACATACTTATATATAAAATCTCACCCAAAGAATGGGGCATGAACCCAACCAAGTACAAAATACTTTTGAATCCAAAAACTACAATTATTTTTATTATCAAAATGCATGTATGAATGCCTCACTTTTCAAAATAACACTAGCAAAAAAACCATGCTTCTTCCCTTTGGGGACACCAGTTAGTCTCTAAATTACTCAATGGTTTTTGCATCAATGGTGGCTTGTCACCTCTCACAACCTATCTTTTCTTGATCCATCTTCATTCAAAATATTTGAAACAAATGCATCAAATATTGGTTATGGTGGTATTTTGAGAAAAAAAAGAAAAAGATCATATCAATGCATTTGCATCCAATCATTGGAATAAATCCCAATAAAGTTATCCTACTATAAAGAAGAAAATTTTGGCAATTGTTTTTGTGAAATTCAAAATTTCAACCAAATTTACAGAATTAAAGGTTTTTACGACGCACTGATTGTAAAGCTACAAAATCTATTTTGCAAAAAGATGTTCAAAATCACTGAGGTATGGTATCTAGGTAACATATTTTAGTGTTTGCTCATCTTTATTTTGTTTGAACAAGCAAGATCGGGTATATGTGAGTATCCATCCCTTCATAAATATTTTGTGTATATACGGGACTTTTTTTAGATGAAATTTATTGCAGTGCTAAGTATTTTATTAGCTACTTCCTGGGGGTTGGAATATTTGTCATTAAAGAAAATGGCTTAGTTTTATCCAAGACTAAGTATAGTCTCTTCCAAATTAATATTCAATTTCTAGGACAAAATAGCCAACAAGGTACTATTACTCTATCCCTATACAAGGGATCGCCATAAAACAACTTTTATGATACCTTTTGGGCAGTATGAATATAATGTTATGCCCTTTGGACTAAAAATCACTCCCTCGAAATTTCAAAAAATAATGAATGATATTTTTAATCCTTTTTCAAAATTTCTTATAATGTACAATGATGTTGTCCTAGTATTTTCTACTAGCATTGATCAACATTTCAAACATTTGAATGTTTTCTCCAATGTCATCAAAGGTAATGGCTTAGTTTTATCCAAGAATAAGTACAATCTCTTCCAAATATATATTTGGTTTTTTGGACATAATATCCAACAAGGTACTATTATCCCTATCCAGCGATCCATTCAATTTACTTATAAATTTCCTAATAAAACTCTTGACAAATCTCAGCTCCAAAGATTCTTGGGATGTGTCAATCACATAGAATATTTTATTCCAGGACTTAGTAATTTACTAAAACCTCTTCATGATAGATTGAAGAAATCCCCTCCTCCATGGACCAACATCAACTCCAATGTCGTTAAAGAAATAAAGTTTAAAGCTAAAGACCTAACATGACTATCCCTTATTAATTCTTCTGCATTCAAAATAGTTAAAACAAATGCATAAGATATTGGTTATAGTGGTATTTTTAAACAAGGAAAAATTGACAAAGAGCATATCATTGCATTGGCATCCAAACATTTGAATAAAGCCCAACAAAATTATCCTACTATAAAGATGGAAACTTTAGCAATTATTTGTGCATTTTATAATTTCAAGAAGATATACTAAATAAAAGATTTTACTACTCATTGATTGTAAACCTGCAAAATCTATTTTAAAAAAAGTTGTACAAAACCTTGATTCTAAACATATATTTGCTAGATGGTAAGCTATTTTGTCTATTTTATTTTGATATTGAACATATCAAATGGAGCTCAAACTCTATTTCAGGTTATCTTACTTGAGAATTCTTGCAGGGTAGGTAATTATTGATAGAAAATAAATTGGAACTAAGTTCACAAAATGAGAATGAAACTATTGTTGGACATAAGCCAACCAAAAACCAAGTATAAGTTGTTTCCCAATCACAGACAATTTCAGATGCTACAAAGCAATCCTCAAAAGATGTTGTTGGATCAAGCCATCCCAGATACCAAAACTCAACGGATTATGCCATGAATGGATCTTTAATTTAAACATGGTAAAACTTGAATCAACTTATACAAATTGATAATATATATTTTTTAATAGGATGATCTTAATGCGGATGATATTGTGATCTTTTCATATCTACTTTGTAAGTAGTATTCCTAAGCAACAATAGTTGGTTTGTCAAAGAAGACTTAGTAGACGTACAGATGGTTATTAATAACATCTGGATCATCTAAGTAAATAACTTCTTGATGTAAAATAGTTATAGCCTTTACGTATAAAATTGATATCAGACCCTTGTAAACTTAACTATCATATATACCTCTTTTATATAATATTGAGTTAAGAACTTGAATGTTTTTTTTATGGAACCCAAAGTTCTCTTGATCCAAGGACAGGGGACATTAAAGTCATTATTGTTATTTACCTAACCATTTTTGCTGATCTCGTAATGTCTTTCTTCACTCCCTTCTTCTCCTCCTCTAAAATTTCTTCTGGAACTACATCTTTTACTATTCCCCCCAATTATAATCTTAAAGGAGAGACTAGCTTCACAAATTTGCAGCAATGAATTCATGATTGGAAAATTTCAAAACATCCCTAGTCTACCATCTATAAGTCTTCAAGATGGCCTTTAAAAGGTAACTATTTCACGATTCAAAAATGGACGTAATGGAACTCGTATTGTCCCATCAAGACAAGTTAGTCAAAAACCCAAAAACACGATAGAAAAGTGGAAATAAACTAACAGTAACATAAGCACAAAAAACGTAGTCATTCTCAACATAACCCCAAAATCTGGTTGTCATGTGTACAAGTCACTAATATAAAATATATAATTGAAAGATAAATGCAAGTCTTAATGTCTTTGTTTCTACAATAGAACAATAAAATAAGTAAGGAACAAGAGGGCCCGTCGGGATGACAAGCAACTACCTCTCAATGTATCCTCAGAAAGTCTCGGAGAAAGATGGAA